CTCGCTACAGGCTCTCCAACACCTGCCAACTGAGCAAACCCCTAAAGCAGCAAGAGCAGAGTGAGGTGCTCTGAGAGGCTGAGGCAAGAGGAGACAGCCCCAAGGCAGGGCTTTCCCATATGCATTCAGCAGTCAATGTTGGTTACCAGTGAGTAAACCCTAAAAGACTTCATATTAACCTATTTATTTACGGTGAAGCAGTTTTGGGCTTGCTTTTTTTTTGGGAAGAGGAGGGGCTAGTTGTCAGGCAGACTATCAACAGCTCTGCTATTACAACTACAGTAGGATTTTCATGCTGGCTGGCAACTCCCAAAAAAACAGAAAAGATTGGTTAGTAGTGGCTATATGAAAAACCGAGGGGAGAGGGAGCCAGGAAAGACAGTATTGTGGAGATCTTCTCGGAAATCTGCTCGGCAAACAGTGCTATTTTCAGTGCCCCAAGAGATCCATCAACCAGAAAAGCCTGAGAGAGGCAAGAACAGAAAGGGGCCAGATGTTAGTGTCAGACTGGTGCCATCCTAGGGAGAAAAGAGCCCCCAGCTCTGCAGAAGGGAACCTCTGGATTTATAAATCCGCAGTACCCAGAGGTAAGACAACAGTCCTTGCTTCCAACTGTAAATAGCACAGAACTCAGTGCAGAGCTCAGCCTAGGGTGGTTTCCACCCATCCCTCAGATGTCCTGAAGTGCCTGTTACTTACCTGCCTCACCTGTTCCTTCCCTGCAGCTTGTGAATCCGTTGCAGACACAGTGTTCAATGCCGTGTGGACCCTGGGCTGCCGGCCCTTCATGAACAGCCAAAGGAGCGCCTGCATTTGCAATGAGGAAGAACGAGATGAATTGTGAAGATGAGCAGATGCCTGGCCTCCATGAGCCTGATGCCAAGCATTCCCTCTGCCACTGCACTTCAGCACAGTGACTTCTATCAGCCCTCTGGCCCAAAACAGGATGGGGGAACCTGGGCCAAGCAATACACATCAACCACAGGTTTTGGGCAGAATGCTGCGAAAGGGGAGGCAGTCTATGAATATAGGACAGTGATGCCTGCTGTCCACCACAGATGCAGTCTAACAGCCCTAGCCCTTTCCAAGTCCATCAGCCTGAATGATCTGATTTTCTGCAGACTGATCAGGAGAGGCAAGGAGGATGCAGCGCTGGTTATAAACAAGAGACTTTACTCGTTTGCCTTAAACACACATGTATTAGCCCTCTCCCCCCTTTCTCCCCTGCCTTAACTCTGTAATTCGCAGTGCAGGGCATTAGGTTTCTGCAACCACTGAAAATCCCAGTCCATGGCCATGCTATTTACATTTTGCACCACTGGTGACAGGCTGAAGAAGAGAGGTAATTTACTTTCAGTACCATCCCTGACATTTTCCATCTTATCATTACACACCCTGACAACCCTGCTTATTTAAATGCTTGGTGGATCCAAAAACAATTTAAAATATCCAGGGAGATTTGGTAAGTATGAGAAGGAACTTTCTTTGTGATATAGGTACAATTCCTTTTGGGGCAGACGGGGACCAAAGTGCATTGCGTGTGAGGTGTGAAATCACAGCACTCTCCCACAGTCTCAGGAGACAAAGCTGCTTTTCTTTTGCAGTGTCATCCAGATCAATTTAATTATTTTCCTCCTATATCATTTAACAAAGCTTTTCCCTTAGGACCCCTTTTTACACAAAATGACTGGGTATCCTCATCCATCTTTTGCGTGAGGGGAACAGGAGGCTCACAGTTGCTTTGGATGAGACATTCAAAATCCCAAAGCCTTACCTGTCAGGTGGCAGGGCTTACATGCTACCTCTATGGGGCAGAGACACAGCCAGCCGAAGAGCTACCAGCAGCCTTGGACAGCCTTGTTTCTAAAATGTGGTTAATCCTCCCATCTGCTATCGGGAGATTTTTTTTGCATACAAAATGAGAATTTAAGGTGGTACATGGGATTTCATCTACATACAACATTTGCAGACAGCTTTCATCTATTTCTTGTTGAGAGGAAGTTGCTTCTGGGTGTGCGTGCCATGCTCATAAATACTTCAGCATCTTCTGCAAACATATTTGTGATTATGTTCTTCCATCTGCCATGAAAAAGTTAAGGCTACAGAAGGGTGATTTAATAGGAATAGAAAGAGTCTGTCTTAGTTACTTTACTTCTCATTTGGGTTTAAATGTATGCATGGAACTATAAATTATTTAAACCCCATATTCCTGTTCCTCCCAGTCATCTTTGCTTTACAGTGAACAGCACTGAGACATTCATCTGGCCCCAGGCAGACTGAAACAACAAGAGCACACTGGTACTAAGACCAGGAAAACAGAAGTGACCACAGGAGACGTACTGGGATGTTTTCCATTAGGGAGGACCTTGGTTTACACTGATCATATGCAATGCCATCCTTTCCTAGCTGTGCTAATGCCACTGGAAAGCAAACACTATTGCCAAGGTTCCTCACAATGTGTGCCTGTCAGAGCATGAGGCTGCACAGGCAGTTTTGATTATCTAAGAAACAGGTATTTTTGGCTAGGGATGGGAAGGAAACAGTCCTTGTTCCAGACCTTCCCAAACTTCGTATTTCATTGATGAAGTTGTACCTGCTGCCAGTTTTAAAAGTGAGCATGCTCTTACACTTAAATGGCAAAATAAGAAAAAACCAATTTCGTTTACACTCAATAGCCAACTGGCTGGCAAATGTCTTACAGCATTTTATAGTTCAAGTGACATCAGATTAAAGCCAGGCGAAGCAACTGAAGACAGACAATGACATACACTGGAGAAATTGATGGGCTCTAAACAAAATCTCTCTATCCCGATAACTGATGTGTTGGAGACACCGCTAATATAAATCAGTTTCTTATGCTTTCAGACTACCGTTCATCCCCAAACACTACAGACATCTGCTCACAGGGCAGCTACTGAATACTGAGCAAGTGCATTTTTCACAACAAATTTGAACTGTGGCAATCTGAAAAACCCCATGAGCAGCTCTACAAGAAAACTTTTGAGCTTTCAAGTGGCGGCAGTGACTCAAGAAAACCACCAAATAATCCTGTATAGGAGAAAACCAGTACATGAACTACAGTAAAACTTCTGCATCCAAACTGAAAGTCACTTTCCCTTCACATTGTTCCTGCTACCCGGTCGGTGTACAGCCACTGAAGCAGCTGGTCACAGGACTCTTCAGGACAATGGACAAATCTTGGGTCATCTTCACTTCCATCCTGCTCTGAGCAGGAAGACAACACTGTGCTCACCTGATGGCTTCCTGCTGACTTTGTGCATTGTAGGATTGTTTGCAACTCTTGCAGATGTTAACCACTGCTTGTGCAGTGTGTTTTGCTTCCACTATGTGGTGCAGCAGATTAAATTAAACAGACAAATGCCTTGGCTCTCAGAGGAGTTTGGTCTTTGATTTCATGTCGAGGTTGTACTACTGAGAAAGACGACAGATGGAAGCAAGAAGCAAACTGGGGAGAGCTAAAAGACTTTGAGAAATGGTGGTGTTTGTGCCTAACAGCCATTCCCTCTGTGTGAGAGGAGGAATGGCCACAGGCCAGTGCAAGACAGTAGACCTACTATCCTGCTTTCAAGGCAAACTAAGCACCTTCCCAGACTGCTCCATTCACATGGCCACACAGGCCAGTGTTTCCTCCTCATTACTCTTCCAGATTATTCAACTAAAAAGCTGCAGAGCAGAAAGGCTGCTTCATATGAACTTGTCAGGAAGAATGAAATAATGTGCACAATAGCTGAAATAAGCCAGGAAATTAATCTTTCCTCCACTACTCCCCCATGTCCCTTTCACAAGAACAAGAACCACCAGTTGCCTTTCCAGAAGGCACCAGCTAATTGATTTAATTTTCCAGCTCTTGTTTTATCTAAACAAGTATATTTAGCAGGGGGTGCCTGAACAAAGAAATGACAGCGGGAAATTACCCATGTGGTCCCAGTGCAGACGTGCATCAGCAGAACCAGGAGATGCACAGCAATGCAAGGAGGTGGCTTTTTGATTTCTTTTTCTTTCACCTATGGCTAGGTAGCACATGAAAAGTGTCTTTCCACTTACACTGAGTTATCATCATAGAAGCATTTTCATTTCTTCTAACACACACACATATTCCCAAATGGGAAAAAGCAGCCATGAAGCTACTCAGAAAAATTATTAAGCTCCCAGCCCATCACTGTGTTCCTCACTGGAATCTCACTCAGCAAAAGAAATAAATCTGTGAAATGGAACACTGCTGAGGAGATTTGTGACTCCCTTCTAAATGGTCCCTTCAAACAGACTCCCTGTCCATTTGAGAGCAGCAACAAATTTTGGCCTTGGCAGCCATTTGGCTGTTTCCAACCAAAGTAGAAAATGGGTAATGCAGGTTATGTGGGCTCCCAGTACACCTCCAGACACACGGAGAACACGGCACACTGCGAAGCTTCTTGCAGAAAACATCATGAACACACTGCAGTGCCCCAGCCAGTGGTGGAGAAGGATCCTTTCTCTTTCACCCTCCAGCCCTGCCTCTCCTACTTAGTCTTCCACTGCTCACTGTGCCTCCTTCCTTTCACCCCATATTTCTTTCACCACACAGTACGCCTCCTCCTCAGTGAAGCCCAGAGGAGCCCAAGCTGATCATCCATTATGTTTTCTTTGGAAGGACCCTGGCAGCCCAAAGGGATTACTGACAAATAACCATGATGCCACCAGTAATTGCATCCATATCCAGCTTTCACCCACCAGGGAACTCCAAATGTGCACAGTCACTCAAACAGTGCTGCCATATTTCCTGTCACCAGGCTCACTGCGGACAACCCTGTCCTGAAAACTACCCGCATTACAAATGATTGCTAGAAACACTTAATGTGCATTCCTCTAATTCCTTTGTTAGGGCCAGAGCCTCTCTAGACCAAGGTAATGATGGATTACAACTTGCAAAGACTTGGTAGCGGCACACTTAGGGGGAGGGGGTGCTGCTGTTTAATGGCATTTTTCTTACAATCAAGGTACTAAACAGTACAAAGGATGTTTAATGGTCTTTCTCTTACAATCAAGGTGCTATAGCATTTATGAAAGGGACCACATTTTTGTTTGAGGCAGAAGAGGGAGAAAAATAACAGTACACTAAATACAAGAGGAAATACTGCTAAACTGCATGCAATTATAAGAAGACACTAAAAAAATCAAGTTTTATTAAATACCTTTTACTATTTAAAAATAACATTTAAATGTGCATGCAATGACAACTGTTTTATAGCTCCAAGGAACTTAGACATTATAAGATATTATATTTTTATACATGCTTTTTAATGGTCATCCCAAAATCTCAGTACATTCAAAGCTTCAGCATCATTCACAGAACTACACAGCAAACACGTTCAGCTATGACAGATGGTGTTTGTATTGTCTGATGACAGAAGAGCTTGACTAACATTGTCAAGAACAAACAGTCCTTTGGAGCCTGCAGGTAGGTGCAGGAGAAGACCAAGTTGGGTAATGCTTCAGGCCTGAAAAGCAATAGGATCCCTTCATCTGAAGGGTTGTGGGGAAGAAATGGCAGATAAAACTGTTCTGCAGTCCAAGTTGCACACAGTCTAAGCGCACTGCCTTGCGTGCCCAACATACTTCACAAATAATCATCATGCACTTAGGAAAACATGTCCTAAGTGGTTCAGTGGGGCTTTACCAAATACTTGTTTCTTAAACAACCATGCAAGAAGGCACTGACAAGGAGAGTCGTCTCAGCAGAGATGCCGTTCCAGTAGGTGGGTGTTAGTCTTCAAAGTCGATTCTGATGGGGCCACCTGTCAGGATGTGGTTTGCCATGTGAACAGATTCCTCCTCTTCCTCTGTCTCAGCTGACCTGCGCACCCGTCTCCGGCAGCCCTGGGCGCAGCGAGAGCTCTCATCCAGCGCCCCGCACACAAGGATGCGACAATGCAAGAACACCTCCTGGAGGGTGGCAAGACAGCAGGCCAAGTCAGCACACAGCTCTGGGAATCACACTGGCACTGCTGCCAGCTCTCTCAGAGAATGGGTGATGCTATTCCCATGGTGCAGCCATTTCCATTCCCACATCAACAAGGTCTGCATCCACCACTGCCATTCACAGCCAAACTGGCTGCTTCATGTTTTCTTAAGTGCCCAGGAGAGGACATGCTTTCCAGAGTGCCTGGCTGAGATGTCAGAGTATGGCATCTGTCTGTTAGCCAAGGGCTAAACAGGTAATGTGAAGGCATGAAATGATCCTCCAGAGGAAGGGATGAAAATGCTAAGGATAAGCTTGGAAGATCTCATATGAACTGGTAGGAGCTGCATAGCAGGAAGCAGGCCAAGAACATGTGAAGCCTCACAAGGAGATGGACTGATAGAAAGATGCAAGAGAATGGACTGATACAAAGATGCAAGAGAATCTGACGTGAGCTGAGAAAACAAAGCTAGGAGACTGAGGGACAAAGGAGGAAAACTCAAGTTGATGAGGAGCTGAGGGGAGAAGGGGAAACAAAGGCCAGGGAGACAGCTGCCCTTTCTTTCTGCACAGTAAAGTCAGACTGCGACAAGATGGGTACTCCTTGCCTTCTAAACGACAAGGAGAGTAGGCAAGATCCCTGCAAGCAGGGAGTAGGGAAGCAAATATTTGTGAATGTTTGGTCAACAGTGAGGTTTGAAGCAAAATCCATTGCACAGGGAGGGAGGATGCAGGTTGGAAGCAGCAGTGGCAAACAGACAGCCAAGCGAAATCTTTGAATTTTGAAAGATCTCATCTGTTTTAACTCTACTGAGGCTCTCCAGTAGCTGGAGTGGCAGCTTTATGACTTCTGGAGCAAACAGCATTGGCTGAACATAACAGTGACTGTACGACTAGATTTCTTCTAGCACAGAGAAGCTATTCGCATTAGGAAAATGGCATTATCCTTCAACTGTCCTCCCACTACAAAGCTTCTGCCTCAGAGTGCCACCAGCCTTGACAGCATGGTTTCACATTGAATTAAACAGTATGGTGGCCTTGTACCTGGAAACCTGGCACCAGTACTCACAAGACCTAGAGAGATATAAGGTTGAAGAGATTTAAAACCATAGACCATCTTGTTTTAAAGATAGGACACTGTGCACTGGGCCTGGTGACTGGGAACACTTTTCTCACCCAGTGTACAAGTGGCCAGTAAGATTACTCAGAAAACAACTATTTCAGCCTGCTACGGCAACCGTCCTTCATAATTCATTTAATTTTAGCTGGTTTTATCACTCTCTCCTAAAGTACTTGTGTCAGGGTCCTGAAAGACAACACTGATGGAATAGGCACAGCATCATCTGCCTTAGGGCAGCCACTTCTCTGCACTCTAATACAGCCAATTCTGTGCTGAGATTCCCCAGTCAGATCAGAGCTGATGCAATATCTCAGAGGTGTGCTTTGAGCTTACCTTGTTGTCTTTGCCCACAAACTTGAACACAGGAACCTGGAAATGCTTGGCAAGATGGTCCTTTGACGTGTACTGCTTCACTGAATCATCAGAAACGCAGCTGAGGAAAGCAGAGGGATAGGCTTTAATGGGTTTCCCAGAAATGGAAAATGAAAGAGAAAAAAAAGCATCCCAGCATATTTAACCATAGAAAGGAAAGGAGAACTAAGCTCTCTCAAACTAAGCTACTATCCGTGTTACTTCCTCTTTGGCCACAGGAGAAAATTCACGAATGATGGGGAAAAACAACAGTGGTGATAATAGCTTATCCAGACAAAGAACAGCTCAGCAGCAGAGAGCTGGCAGGACATGGTCCAGTCCCCTTGTCAGAGGGACTTGCCAGAGAGCTGCAGGCAAGTATGTCCTCATTTCACCTTCCTGTGCAACAGTCTGCAGTGATCAACAGAGCTGTTATACAGTATGTATTATGTGCTTTCTATACACACATATATATGCACATAAATCATGCTTAAAATGAAGAAGCCTGTACTCACATTACTAAAATATCACAGATTGTGTAAAAACATAAAAATCCAGATTTACTTTGCTTTACATCATTTACGTTTTTCTTTCTGCTACACTTGGTTGGACAGCTCAAATTCTTACACTAAAATTCATCATTTCAATTTCTTCTTCACTAGCATTATATGATCGTGCAAGACATCATAGAACTGCAAGAAAATAGCTACTTTTATAAAAGTTACATTCCAGGTGCAGTCTATTTATAAACTGTTACAGCCTATTTAGAGTTTGACAGAGAAACAGCAAGACAAAAAGTTAGGGTGACTTGGTAATTACTGCTGCCTAGTGCAAAGCCTGAAGTGTTCCGAGAGGCCCAGCTGCTGCTGTTATATTGCATTGCAATGCAGCTTGTCCTTTCTAGCAAGTTAATTCCAGAAATATGGACTTTGCAAGATATTAAGCAAAAAAAAAGAAGTGATGGTGGAAGAGACAAGAGGTAATGGTGGGAGAGCTGAAAGTCCTACTCCCGTGGCAACCTTTAGCTTCTGTCTTTACACCAGAAATACGTAAGGCGCTGTCAGAAATGCTGACGTTTGATGTGTTCAATTATCAAGCAGCAGCAAACCCCACATCTATGTGTAGCTCAGCTCTTGCTGGAAATCTCTACACTGCTCAGCTGACTAGGCTGTGTGGGTGGCAGACTGCTGCAATCGCCCTTCTGCTATGTAGAGTACAGTACGTTCAAGGGACTGCTAAGCAATGGTCTGATCCTAGCGCTGTTTTCACCACCATGTATTTCTGTAGCTTTACTCAGCCAGTGGCGGTCACGGTCTGAAGGGATATCCCTGTCTGCAGTGCTTGTCTAGTTAACTTGCCTGCAATGCAAACATAAAAGCCATCACGGAGAGCTCATAAATTAATATTGTACATCTGAAAAAAAATAAATGACCGAGATTCCTCCCTCCTGACACCAAACATTAGATGTCACTAAGTTGTTTAGGATAAAATTACTTTTAAAAGTAGCATTCCTGAAGGCATGTGATTGTAAAGAGTGACAGTTACAGACTTTTCATGAGCAACTAGCCAAGCTTTGGGGCCATAAAGCCAACTCACAGTCACATTCTCATTCACAAGCATATAAAGCGTGATGATTCTTGGACACTGGCTCAAACTGACTCCTAAATCCCAGGGTCTCCAAAGCTTCTCTACACTGGTACAGCCTTGCAACGGAACTACCTTAACCTCATCATGCTCAGATAAATCGCAGCTCCTGATCACGTTAGATTACAACAGATTGCCCTCAGGGATACGACCTTGCTCCAGATGCCCCAGAGAGCTTCAACCTTTGTCACCTGTGCTATAAGTCAATGCCTTTTACTTCTTTTTGTTTTGAGAAAGAGGAAGAGCAAGATCAGAAGCAGGAGCTTTGCTTGGGGGCTGGCTGGGCTGGCAGCAGTACAGGGTATTACAGAGACAGTGGGGAGGCATCTGGGAAACCCGATTTCCAGCATGGTCACATCAGCATAAAGAGAGGGTTTAAGGAGTCCCACAGGAGAAGGCTCCCACCCCATCGCCCTTGCAAAACGGCAATGGCAGGCAATTAACAGGTAAGAAAGCAGGAGAGGAAGTGTTCCCATCCCTCAGTCTGAGATATACTCCCTAAATTTAAATAAGTTTCCCCGTGGAAGCTGCAGTTAACTCCTGCAGGTCTGATCCTACATAATCAAACCCATTGCTGTCTTTATTGCCTTGGGCTTCTGGAGCTGAGTTGATGGAAGGAAACTGGGCTATTACAGAGCTGTTTGGAGAAGTGACAAATCAGCAGTGTATTCAGCTATTTTTACTTTTTAATTGCTGCAAGCACACAGAGAGACAAAGCACTCCAGTTAGCTCAATAGCACATCATTAGCCTTTGCTAAGTGAGCGGTTCAATTTAAATACACCACAGCCCACAGGGGCTGGGTGTCTGAGGATGCTGGGGCCTTCAGTGACTGGATGAGGCTCCAGCTGGCTGGCTCCAGCCCACTTTTCCCTTTGATGAAGTTTTAATGCCCTCTGCAGGATAACAGTACCAAAGGGACTGCTGGTGCCATAAATCCTCCAAGTTCTGCTGTGGTGAAATTGAGAGATGACATTTTCTGCCCTCTCCCTTCACTGTTGCTCAGGTTTTGGCCGCTGTTTTGAATCCCATCATTTTCACTCATGGTGAAAATGAATGAATGTTTGGAGCCATGACTGTGTGAAGGGTCCACAGGAACAGCCAAGGCAGGGAGTTAATAAATCAATCTTTTCATTACAAATCCACTCATAAACTCCAAAAATGTCAGGCACAGAAGGACGGTAGCCTAGGATGGAGGGGAGAGCAAACGAATGCCGAAACCTTTGTCAGAAGGAAACAAAAACAGTATTTTTGTGTATGTACTCTGCAGGACCCCTTTGTTACAAGGCAGTCACACAGGACTTGTTATCACCAGCTGTAACGGTGGATGATTTAGCCTGGCAGCTGAGGAAATAATTGTTGTTCTCATTAGATGGGCTGGCAGACAAAATACAGAACTTCCACGAGACTGTCAGGCTGTGACATTTGGGTATGTCTTACATATTACTTTGGCTTAGATATTACTTCTTATTTTCTCTCTAGATTATAGCAGACTGGTTCCTGCATGTGATATTTACCACAGTGTTATCTGGTTAAGCTGCCAGGCACTGCTGAATGCAAACACTCTGCAGCAACACTGTACCATGGCTCTGTCGTGTTACCACCCGAACAAGTATCTGAAAACAGGGGTCCATCTTAGGAGCCACAGCAGAGCACAGACCAAAGCTCCCCAAACCTCTGATGCAAAACCCATTAGAGTGAACCCACAGATCCACCCTGAGTTATCCTGCAATGATCTCTAACCCCAAATGCCTCCGAAAATTACAGCCAAACTGAGGGACCCCAAACTTACTGCACTGCCAGGTATGAGACAGAGGAAAGCAAGGGGAGCTCCTGGAGCTCCAGCCTGGACCAGCCACAAAATCTTCTGGCTCATAATATAAAGCCACGATGGGAAAAATCAAGAAGCCTGCTCCAGTTGCTGTGGCGGCTGGGCGGCAGTGGCACACAGCCATCAGGGGGTTCTGCCGATTGGTTTGGCACTCAGCAGGCTGGCAGAGAAAGGATATCAGGAAGGATATCTTTTCTACAGAAGCCAACTCAATTATATACAAAGCTAGCCAGAGGGAAATATGTCCTGTAAAGGCTGAGCTTGGAGTAACCTCCTTCACTGCCTCTCGCTGTTTCTGCCAATTACTTCTGATGGGAAGGGTGGTTTCAGGTTGACGACTGAAAGGTCTGGCTGCTACTGGTCTAGGAACACAGCAGATAGGCTGCTGTGAAGAAGTGATGGTGTTTCCTGCATCACACAGGCAATGCAATTTAGCCCCGCTGCCAATTCCAGTCTAAGAGCCAGCAAGAGAGAGAACAGTGAACTCACCCATCTTGGATCAGGTAGTACTTCAGGATCTCATCAATTTTTGAGGTGGGAGTGGCAAAGCAGCTCTCTACCAGTGTCTCTAGTCCATTGACATGTACCAAGGGTTCAATTCCAAAGTACAGAGAGTCCCGAAGCTTAAGGGTGGGAAGAGCACCCCTGTAGGGTTCATCAAAGTCTTTGTCTTTGAAGATCTCAAGAGTGAAGGGAAAGATGCCCTGGTTGCGGCTCATGATTTCCAAGGGAGAGTTCTTAAGGTTGGGCACATAACCTTCAGAGATGGTGTACCGGCGTGGGAACTCACAGGTCACCGGGATCAGCAGCTTGCTGGTGCGGACAATGATGTCCCCATTGCTTCCTGGAGTCTGCTTTGGCAAGCCCGTCACCAGATTGGTGGCAATGATTTTATCATTTATTACCTGCAGCAAAGAAAGGAGTTTAAGGGAAAGGGGAGATCATTGAGAAAGACCTCTCCGAGTTCAGACTATCAGCTGAGTATACCTTGTTCCAGAAACTCAGACATAAACTAGCTACTGAAAGTACAGCTTGTGAATTCATACACTGCAACCAGAATGTAGGTTCCTCCTCACCTATGAAATAAGGGCCTTTATCAATTTGCTGTTAAATTTGATGCACTGTACTCCTGCATGAAGCAGAGGAACTTGTTTCCAATTGCAAACTGTCTTCCGAGATGAGCTCTCCGCTCATCTGCATCTCCTGACTGCTTGCTGTTCTAAAACTTATAAATATTATTGGGGGACCAGATTCTACCTCAGCAGGAGGGTGAAGAGTGACACCACCTGCACTTTCTGCACTGGAATGATGGTGAAGCTGCCTTTGCGAAGGATTAGGTGAGCAGAAAGTTGTAGCCATGCCAGCAGATGCACACCTCTAAAGAGGAGATGGAACAAGCTCTCCTACTTTGGGATGTGACCCCAGGTCTAGTCTGATGCCAGCTGCATGGCAGTAAGGAAACTTCTCTGATGGTACAGCTAAGTTCATTCCCCAAATAAACCACAACCAAGTCCCCAAACCCGAGAGATCCCAAGAGACAGGGCAGCAATAGGTATACATACGTCTACAACAGTGCCACAGGACTTCAAGGAGAAATGGATGTTAACGTGCGTGCCATTGGATACTCCTTTGCATGAAGTGTTTATAAGAGAAAGGTCCAGGCCTCCAACCAGATCCTTTGGGATGTTCACCTCAATAGAGCTGGACTTGCAGAGCACTGGAACTACAAGAAAATTCTGCAGAATAACCATCGGCACTACAAATCTTCCAGGGAACTGGGAAAGGGCTGTATCAATTATTACTGGGCAAAAAGGGGGATCATATGCTGTGTTTATGGTTACTATCTTACCATAGTAATCTAACTACCTATATTACATTTCTGCTTACAGTACACCAACCTTCTAGGTTACCAGTGCCTCATATCCTCCTGGCACAGTGATGCCACAAAAGATGATGAAGATGACTGCTAAACTTGTGGCAGAAACTCAGCTGCACAGATATGGATATCAAATTCACAACACCCCAAGCAAAGCCATTTTTAAAGACCCTTAATCAGATTTTATATCAAACCCAGAACAGGCCAAAACAATTCCATAGATATGCTGAGCTAAAGTGGAAGCACCTCAAAATGCTGCAATAATACTTCTTATATGCAATAAACCCAGCTCTGACAAACAAACCTATTAGCTCACTCATTCCACCTCCTTCCAAACTTTGAATTTTAATACAGATCTCCATGTGAACTTTTAAAAGTTAGAATTCCATTACATAAGAAGTGGGAGAATATGTAGAGATTGGGCAAAATGAAAAAGGAAAGAAGAGGGAATAAGCTTCAATTAATAAAGTAATTGCTGTTTATATTCTTTGCATGTATACACATCCATTCAGTTAGGCAGAGGACAAGTGTAGTGCATATATTCTCGTTTCCTCCCATCCATAAAAACACCCCCCTGCAGAATTTCCATGTATCATTTTAAAATCACATGACAAAACTTTCTGCAAATACACTAGTTACCCAAGTGTTTTCCTAAAATTAATTATAGTCCCAATCCTGAAATTCATATGATCTTTCTTCCCTTAATTTTGATCATTAAGGGTATGATCCACGATTCTGGACCTTGGATACAAGGCACACAGCTAAAACATACCTTTCACCCTCCTTAAGAAAACCCTCCTGTCCCAGCTGAGGTATTTGTAATGGCTACTATATACCTGCAGGGAGTATTTTTTATTAAAAGTTGATCTTTTCAAGGTTATATGCTAAAATGTATGCAGTGTGCCTAAGGCAATATGCTCGCATAATGAAACTGCTGGGTTGGAACAGAAAACTATAGAACTACCTTCAATTTTCCTCTATCCACAGTAAAAGGCAAGTGGGAATAACTGAGCACACTAAGTGGCTCCTCACAAGGAGACAAAGGGACTTCAAGAACACAGTGCAATGCAGAGAGAGATGAACCTCCTTTGGAGACCTGGTTGTCCCAGCTTGGATTTAAAACTTCACTGTTCTACTGACTTGATAAGAAAATACAATGCTTCTATAAAGGTGTAATTCAGGGCAAGACGGTTTGGATCCCAACTGCAACTCTCCAAAGCTCGGACCAATTTGGTTCAGGTTCTGTTTCTAAATGTCTTTGATTGGCACAAAGGGGAAGAAAGAAGAGACACCCATTAAACCTCTGCTCTGGCATTGCAGGAGTTGCCTGCTTGCATTCCACCACCTGGGCACAGAAACAAATGAATGGAACCTGTGAGCAGATCCACTTTTGATTCAAGCCAGCTCATCATTTTTTAGGAAAACAATCGGGGAAATTCCTTATACTAACCATCTCGGAGTAACTGGTAATGTAATTCAGACCACCCTCCACATTTGTATACAGAAGAGTAATCAATACTGAGAACAGTGTTTCAGTTCTACCAATTTAACAGTGGTGCTGCAAGCAAAGAGACTGCATTCATCAATGTGATTCACTGATCAGGCCTTATTTTCCCAAAAGAGACTGCCAGGAACATCATAGGGGGAACTGAAAAGGGGCTGGAAAGGTAGCCCATGGCTATATGCAGACATGTTATTTCAGGCAGGGTCCTGACTGCCAGCACTGAGATGCCCAGCAGAAATGAGTTACCCTGGGTGCCAAGAGTAATTAATTTATTTCACAACTTTTTTCATCTATTCAGAACACTGCACTCTCCTGACTTGCTGTCAGCATCCATTTCTTGCATCCCTGTCCTGGGCTCACCCCAAGATGCAAGCCTCTTGAGAGCCTCACCCACTCTTCGCCTGTCAAACATTTCAGTTATTCATCCTCATACACCCCAGAGCATCTGTAAGTAGAATCATAGAATAGTTAGGGTTGGAAAGGACCTTAAGATCATCAAGTTCCAATCCCCCTGCCATGGGCAGGGACACCTCACACTAAACCATATCACCCAAGGCTTCATCCAACCTGGTCTTGAACACTGCCAGGGATGGAGCATTCGCAGCCTTCCTGGGCAACCCATTCCAGTGCCTCACCACCCTAACAGGAAAGAATTTCCTCCTTATATCCAATCTAAACTTCCCCTGTTTAAGTTTTAACCCATTACCCCTTGTCCTATCACTACAGTCCCTAATGAAGAGTCCCTCCCCAGCATCCCTATAGGCCCCCTTCAGATACTGGAAGGCTGCTATGAGGTCTTCATGCAGCCTTCTCTTCTCCAGGCTGAACAGCCCCAACTTTCTCAGCCTATCTTCATACGGGAAGTACTCCAGCCTCCTGATCATTCTCGTGGCCCTCCTCTGGACTTGTTCCAACAGATCCATGTCCTTTTTATGTTGAGGACACCAGAACTGCACACAATACTCCAGGTGAGGTCCTAAGAAACCTCTGCATTACTGCTTTAAACTCTGTTTTGCACCAATGCCTGCAGTAAGTACCCTGATGCTGGTAGGAAGTTTCTGTGACTCATTCTACTGCCTGCTGTTGTTGGCACCGTGTTCCTTGTCCAGCCTTTGGTTCCTTCCTTGGCCTTTCAAAGTACAGCTGCTTGGAGCAGAGGTTATCTTTTTGTACAGGCTGCTCAGTGGAACAGGCTCTCTGGTGCTGGGGAGCCTTGAACCACTACTAGCAAACCCCAGATCAACTACACCACTGTACCCTGCTTAGCTGAAGACAAGGCTTGGGCATGGGAATGGGGAGAAGGAACATTTCACCATCACACTTCAGAAAGAGGTGGGGTACTAGGATGGTTTGCAAAATTCCAAGTATTTCATGGTACCTTTGTGGGAACATTGTAGCCAAAACTGTGATTTCTGTGGAGGATTATTAATGTTTGTTCTGAATGTAGAGACAGTGCAGAGGAGGGTTGATAGGCTGCAGATCCAATTCCTTCAGGCAACTGTGCCTGTCCCGCACTGTTAATTGTACAACTATAAACCTGATTAGATGCCATAAAAAATTGTGTGGTACAGTTCCAGATATATTCTGTTACATCTTCTCAAAATTGCAAACCACTGCGTGGGGACATAAATTCATGAAATGCAAAAGAACTAGTAATTTCACTTTATGAGATGCTGTATCCTGAGCCCCAGCCTGGCACCCAGCAATGCTGCTGCTCTCTTTAGCAGCCCCAGAAGAAGAAGAAACACTGGCTGGAAAATGAATGGCCTTTTAACCCTGCTAGGGTTGCTCCAGGGATCCAGGGATGAAAAACATTACTCTTTTCTGGCTCTTATCCATCAGTCAGACCTTTAAATCAGTAAGTATAACCATGGCTTTTGGAAATCCCCATTTCCTCCTCCTCCCCACCTGGGTCTGCTGGAGCAGCACTCCTGAATCCCAAGTGTGAGTGCTCATCCCTGAAAACAGTGCCCTGCGTTTCTAGTAAGTTTAAAAAGCAGAAATTTCATCAACTAGAACCATTCCAAATTCCTCTCTAGGACATGCCTGCCCTGTTGTCCCCCATGAAGCCTGGGTCTGTTCCTCTTGTGTCTGGGCACTTTGTAATGCATCAGACTACAGAAAGTTCTGAGCACACCAGGTAACACCAGCACACTGGTATTATCTAAAGCCCAAGCGAATTAGCCTATGACAGGCTTCCTTTTGTTGCATTTTTAGATCCTACCCTGGGCTATAGATCAAGTCTAGCCCATTAGCAAATTCCCACGGAAATGTCTGGAAGCAACTGCAAGGGTTATTTGTGGGCCCACCAAGGCAGAACACAAGCAGAGAGCTATGAGGTCTGTCTCTACCAGGGCAATAGTGCACCTTCTCCAGCTTTGTATTGAGCCTAACATGCCTGAGAAGTGGCCAGGCAAGTCAGATGAATCCAACCAGAGAGCATTACCCACCTTCCACATGCCCACACACCTTTCCTCAACACACAAATTTTGACTGAATATCCTTTCACCAGCAGATCATAGTAGACATCTTCTATGTAAGACACAGGCTTCTTAATGCTTTCAGCACCTTAGGAGCTCAGCTAGCTGTGGGATTACGAGACCCGGAAGAATCCTGGGTGCAAGTCCTGGGTTGTAAGAAGTCATTGCACAAGGAGCTACAGACCCTCTGCTCAACTCTGAAAGTCCTCAGGAACTTCCCCCTGGTCCTCTGCTCCCTGCACTCACTGCTGCAGAGCTAAACTGACCCCTGGGAGTCTGGATGTAGTTGTAGAGGAAATCTCACTCAACTCTTGCAAACCAAAACAGGGAACATGTTTATTCTAATCACATGCTATAGGTGCAAGTGAGTCAGCAAGAAGAACTCCCTGCATACAGGAATGGAGCAAAGTTCAGATAGAGGGTCTCCCAAGGATATCATTGCCCTTGCCTCTATGCAGCAAAAGCAATAGTCAATTTTCTGATGCTATCTTGGCTACTTTTCTAAGTGACAACAAGCCCACCCTGTACCAAAACTATTACTCTGCTTCAAGCCATCAGAATACTGATTGGAGTGGCTATTGAGATACTTGGGAAAAAAAAGCCTCTCTCACCCCATTCTTGGAAGGGATTGAAGCACATTAGCCGAAACTTTAAAAGCACAGTTTGAAGCATGAAAAATTCCAGTTCTAATGGCATAAATCTGTTAAAAGCATACACAGCTGAATCACAGCAATATAATGGGAGATGTTAAGCAATCTTACACCTGGATTGGAGCAATCCCAGGCCCAGCTACAGGTTGGACAGAGAAGAGATTCAGAGCAGCCCTGCAGAGGAGGATTTGGCGGTGTTGGTTGATAAGAAACTGAACATGAGCCAGCTTCAGTGTGCACTCACAGCCCAGAAAGCCAACCGTATCCTGAGCTGCATCAAAAGGAGCGTGACCAGCAGGTCGAAGGAGGTGATCCTGCCCCTCTGCTCTCGTGAAACCTCACTTGGAGTATTGTGTGCAGTTCTGGCATCCTCAACATAAAAAGGACATGGAACTGTTGGAACAAGTCCGGAGAAGGGCCACGAGGATGATCAGGGGACTGGAGCACCTCCTGTATGAAGACAGGCTGAGAAAGTTGGGGCTGTTCAGCCTGGAGAAAAGAAGGCTACGTGGTGACCTCATAGCAGCCTTCCAGTATCGGAAGGGGGCCTATAGGGATGTTGGGGAGGGACTCTTCATTAGGGACTGTAGTGATAGGACTTACAGAGGGAAAGTTTAGATTGGATATTAGGAAGAAGTTCTTTACTGTAGGGGTGGTGAGGCACTGGAATAGGTTGCTCAAGGAAGCTGTGAATGCTCCATCCCTGGCGGCGTTCAAGGCCAGGTTGGACAGAGGCTTGGGTGAGATGGTTTAGTGTGAGGTGTCCCTGCCCATGGCAGGGGGGTTGGAACTAGATGATCTTAAGGTCCTTTTTAACTCTAGCTATTCTATGATTGTATCAATCTTGATTTTAAGTGAACACTGCCAAAACCACCTGTGATGCAAGAGGCACCCAGCTGGGTTCTTTGTCTCTGTTCTCCTGCCTGGCAAAAAGAGCAGTATCTCCAGGCTCTCAGTTTTGGATGATCTGTCATTAAGGACAGAGCTCCATTAACCAAACTGGAAAGGTCAGACTAAGAGAATACAACAAAACCACGAAGAAAAGTTCCTTCAGACATACCTTTGGCATTCATGGGACAGAGGCTGTCGGGGAGATTCTGTTGACCTACCTTGGCAAGTATGATTGTCTTCTGACAGAACAAGTCCCCTCGGACATTCACATTGGTATGTGTCTTCCACTTCAATACAGGTATGGCTGCAGCCTCCATTGTTATTGTGACAGCCTTCAATTTCTGCAAAAGAAAGAAAACCCAGAACACACTGCTCCTCAGACATCTGTGCAACCGCTACACAGGCCCCCAACATACTCTCCTGGATGACTAACAAACAGCATGACCAACACAGAGCTCAAAGGCAACAGCACAGCGAGAGCTTTCTTCCAAGAATATGTGGTGAAAACCTGTTTTTAATTGTACAATCTCCTGCGTTTCTCATTTTACCATGATGTTAACAAGGAATTTTGTGAAAAAGCTTACCAAAATAAATCACATGCTATAATTGGCATACATAAGGCAGCTGAATAGGCAATCTTCAACTTGTCTCTAACTTCTAAGACATCCTCTTAAACTAAATTTTATGTTGTTTCTTACTTCAAAAGGGTGGGAGGAAAATCCTCTTAAAATATCTACCATGTGGAACCATACTCACTCCCTTCGTCACCACCAGAATTAAAGCCCTGAGATTTGCAGGGGAGGTGTCTTGGGGAGAACAGGCTCACAGGTAGCCAGCTCCTACTCCCCTCAGGAATACGAGAGAGAAGACATTGTGCTTTTTGCCTCTGGGTTTGCCAGCTGTTGTGGAGGTGGGTGTACTGAGTCCCTGCATCCCCTTTGTAGGCTGAGGATGAAGCACTGCTTGTAGGAGTTTGTTTAGCAGGAATTTTGACAGTTTGTGACAGATTGACACAAGATCACAGTGTAAGGTCAATTCACCTCCTAATTCTCTCCCATTCTAAAGTGCAGAGGAGAAACAGCAGCACAGCTAATTGGAGGACTTGTCATTTTGTTCTGCAGCCATAGTGGCTAGGAATATGTTTTACATGAAATCTCAGTTCCTCAGAGGATTGCCTCACCTGAACAGAAAAGAGCCTGAAAGGTCAGCCAAACACATTCTGAAGATTTGAAAAACTAAGGCAAGTAAGGCCATTATCAGTTATTTTCTTTATAATAGAAAGCCAACAACAGACTATCACCACTTAAAGAAAACCAAAACCCTCACTGTTTGATATTCTTTTTACCTTTTGGAATGAATACATATTCTCAGTAGAACAATAGTACACATAGTATAAGAAATCATAAATACAAAATATTTCTCCCTAAGCCTACCACAGGAAATGACAGTATGGTTTTCACTGAAATATAAAGGAAAGAATGCAAATCCCATACTCAGTCCCATAGATTACATGAAAAACAACAGCCTGGGCTCTCCATGTGAGTCAAAGTAATGGGTAAGGCATTAGAACGGAAATTTTGAGATACTCTTAACCTTAGTAAGCCTCACTAGCTCATATAATCAAGATAAATCTCTTGCATTTATTATTTTTAGCAACAGCTGTGAGGTGTCTCACAAGTAAATCACATACTCTAATGGTTCACAAAGCTCAGGGCATAGCCTTAGAAATAAAACTCACTAACAAGATTGTAAAAATCCTCAGCAGCAGTGTCAAAACTCATGAAAAGCACCATCCTTCTTACAGAAGAAGTTAAATGATACATCAAAAGGTCTTAAAATACAAGTTTAAGAGCAGCAGAAAGAAACAAGCTTCCAAGCACAGACTACTCCAGCCCTGTTAGAAAAGTGCAGTGCTCAGGAATAAAGACTGCCACGTAGCACAGCTGGGTTTACATGACACCCCACAGATTCAATGCTGGATGTGGAAGGGATGAAGCCCACAGATTACTTTTGGCCCCAACCAACCCAACAAGTATACTTAAGGAGCACTCGGCACAGCAGCTCCCCAGGGAAGTGTCATTATCTGGATGAGTGATGTTTATTAATAGAGCTCAGAGAGACAATTTTCAGAGAAGTGAAATGAAATATGCTTTGTTATCAAAGAGAGGGAAAAGAGAGACAAAAACTGCAGCTTGGAGCCATTTGTCAATGAACTACAAAGAAGGTTGGAGTGCAGCCCAAAAATACAATGGCAATCCCTCTCTCTCTGCACCATGGATGCCTGCCACACAGCAGCTCATGTAAGTTTGCATGCAGACTGCAGATATATTCAATTCTGGTAATCAGGTAGCTCAGAAGTGAGGCACATATGTAAGCTATTATTTTTGTCTAAGGCCCCACAGTATCTGTGAACACACAACACAGCAGCTTTGCCTGTGAGGGGGCACAGTGGTCTTCACAGCTGACCACAGAGAACATCAGGCACACGTCATTTTTTCCTGGGTTTTCCTATTTCTGCTCAAAGATGTCTGTACATTGTTAATTACAACAGATGAAGCCTACAGTTTTGTCTTGAAGTCCTTGTTAAGCTACCAAGCTCATCAAGGGTTTTCAGGCTGGCTGTGCCACCACTAGGATGTAACTGTATCAGTTGCACACAGCAAAGCCCACAACCAACTACTTACAAAAAATCAAACAAAACACATCCCTATTGTCAAATCTAGCTTCTGTCTACAGACTAGCACCACCTCTTCTCAGTCTGTATTCTAGGAGGTTAAGTGATCCTACTGTTGTCTAATGTCATGATATTTACCCCATAGATAATGCTAGCTGTCAAAAATAAGCAATGCGAAAGCTGCCCCTGCACAACTGTCATACAAATGCACAGAGACAAATCCCAGCATCTCCAGCAACAACTAGCTCTATCTGAACAACCAAACTTTAAGATCCACTGCTGCCTCTCCCCCACTAGAGACAACTACAAGCAAACCCTAACAGAAATGCACAAAACAGAGAGAACAACAAGGAGACTTCTCTCTGCTTGATTAGAAGGTTATTTCAGTAACAACACCACTGGGAAGCACAGAAGTGATAGGAGTGACATTTAATCCCAGCTTCAAACAGCTACAAAGAACTAGTGCTGCAAGTGAAGGGGAATGATTTATATTGTTTTCAGCAGACTATGATAGCTGAAACCTCACCTTCACAGGTTTTGCCATCACTTCCTAGTGTGCGCCCAATCCCACACTCACAGCGGTAGGAGTTCTTCAGGTTAACACAGAATTCACTGCAGCCTCCATTGTTCTGCTCACATTCATTTTCATCTGAAAAAAAGAAAAAGAAAACAGTGTCGAAACACACCCCTGGGTAATCACAGCTGGCAAAAAGGGGCTGTTACATGGGAGTGCTGGTCAGACCATGGACTGGCTTTTCTGGCCTCATAATCTGGATCTTGGCATTACAGATGGTCAATCCCACTAAAATGCTAAAGAACACTGCCTACTGACAGTAGCAGAGTGTTACGCTATGCTGTGTCTACATCAGGAACTAAGCAGACTGGGAGGGAAACACCACATGCACACAGCAGCCATTTCAGAGTGAAGATAGGCACAGTCCCACTGGGAAACTTCCAAACTGGTTCCACATGCTGGGAGTTTGTGTTTGCACTTATCTTGTCATCCTAAACTATTCTTCACTCACAAAGACATTAGAATAGAGCTAACATGACTTCACTGCATCGTAAAACTAGCTGATTATGAGAACTGGTCAAAAATAAATCCTATTTCTGTATCATACGTGCTACTGCTACACGTGGCCAATTATCCTACAGCAATTTTTAATGATTCACCCCTTATTTCAGCAGAGACACAAGAATGAAAAACAGCTGTGAACATATAAACAAAGCTGAAATCAAAGCAACATATTTTAATGAACCCCATGAAACTTTCCCAAGAAAAGCCAGGTCATGAGAAATTTCATCATTTCGCCCTCTTGCCGCAGCTCTTGCTGCTCTCTGCACCAGGCAGCTCAGGTGTTCTTGAGGAACAGAACTGCCAACTTGCCGTGGCGAGACCTAACTTGGGCATTGGTGCCTCACAGACCATCGCAACCATTAGCTGCTTACTCTGAAGATAAGCAAAGAGCTTCCACAGAGCTATTGCTCCTACCTCTCCAGCTCAGAAGAGAAGTGCTTGAGGTGGCATCCTGTTTTCTGGAGCGGACTCTGGAGAAAGGTTGCAGAACAACCTTTTGATAGGCCTGCACTGAGTTTTTATAACCTATATCAATATACCCATGTCATGTTTCTGCGCTGGCTGCATTCAGCTTTACAGTAGAGCCCTCTAAGGCGTTGACAGTATTTGTTGAAATAAATCCACAGCAGATGCTTTTGAATCTCTTGGTAAAGCTCTGAAAACCTCCTTATTTTCTGTTTTAAAGGCTAAAGTTTCTGTATGTTTCTCTGCTTTTTTATTTTTTTTTTTTCAAAATAACTTTGCTCTCCAAGATTCTCATTCTTCAACCTGATTTCACATGAGGTTTCAGTAAAACAGCTTAGAAGTTACCATTTATTAGATGTCAGAAGCTTTAAAACCAAGAAAAAAGAAAAATACCATTAAAGGGACAGGTCAGAGATGAGCTCTCTTAGGTGTTAAGTGATCCCACGCATACACAGTACTTGCAGTATGCAGCTAGTGGTGTTGTCTCCTTCCACAACCAATGTGAGTTAAATATTTTTAGCCAAAGAAATGGCTGGTACCCTGGCTTGGGAGGCAGAAAGCACATTGTTGTGGTTTAACCCCAGCCAGCCAGCTTTTCACTCACTCCCCCCCCACCCCCCATTCCCAGAGGGACTGAGAGGAGAATCAAAAAGAATGCAACTCCCACGGGTTGAGATAAGAACAGTTTAGTAACTAAGGTATAACACAAATCACCACCGCTACCACCAGTACTAATAATGATAAAGGAAATAACAAGGGAAGAGAATACAACACCTCACCACCTGCCGACCGATAACTCGGCCCCCCTAGCCCGACCAAGCACGGACCGATACCTCCTCCAACCCCACAGTGCCCTCAGCCCATCCGGGTAACTCCCAGTTACATCCAAGGCATGAGGTGCTGTGGTATGAATACCTCTTTGGTCAGTTTGGGTCAGGTGTCCTGTCTCTGCTTCCTCCCAGCTTCCCTCCTCCCTGGCAGAGCATGAGGCTCACAAAGTCCTTGGCCAAACCAAAACATCATTGTTTTCAGCTCTGTTCCCAGCCCAAAAGTAAAAACATAGCACTGCACCAGCTACCAAGAAGGAGAAAAGTAACTGCTACTGCTAAACCCAGGACACACATCCAGGACACACACACAGACAGGGTCCCTTTTCACACATGTAACAGGCTCCACATTTTCACTTCTAACAGTAAAACTAAAGCTGCCTAAAGAGTTAAGAGTGAAAGGGAAATTGGCAAAGACAGAGATGCTGTTAGAAGGCCCTAGAGGCTGGCTTGTTCAAGTGCTGCTGTAACCAGCAATTCACCAAGTTCTACAACGCAACAGAATGGTGTATCCATGACATTGCAGACCCATGGCAGAAAGTCCAAGACCTAATCTAACCTCTAAGTAAGTTCACAAATGACAATATAACTCAGGATCAGCCGTTCTACTGTGGGATTCAAAACGTACAATGTATTGAAGTCAACTTAGCAGAGGGAGGTTCACTGACAATGCACAACAGAAAGTCATTAGAAATATGAATGAGCCATACAACAAGAGATGGTGCAGGTAGGTAAACTAGTGTGATTATTTCAACTGAGGTGTTGTGCCATCTGATTATCATGAAGAGAAGCAGCAGTGCAGAAATCCTGCTTGCCCTGGCAATGTGGGGTGAAGGCAGCTGCAGCACAGATACACAGGCTCAAGACTCCTGCATGCTTCCCTACTGCAGGAAATCCTTTCCCGTGAGCCTGCCACAGATTTATTGAGTGCTGGTGCTTGTCAAGGGCACTTCTGTGACTGGAAGTTTGATACAGAAACAGCCAATAAATGCTTTTAACTAGCTAAGAGCTAACTCAGCCACTCATCTGCAGTGATGTGGAGCAGCTTAAGAAAAACCCTTCTGAAGAATCAGTGTGAGCAAGTATAAATCTGCAGCAAGGCCAGGCTGCTCTCTTCACAAATTGTAATGACTGTGACCCCTACCCTGAAGCCCACAGACATGAGGAATGAGAAGAAACTAACTACACCTGCTTTGTCAGCTGTAGTCTGTATGGAAAAAAGTGACCTGCCACACAGCCTCCTGGACTAATTCTGCTTTCAACCTCCTAATCAAATCAAGACACAAGAACAAAGATGAGACCTCAGTTACTGTGAACACTAGCACCCCTTTCTCCCTCTGTGTCACCTCCTCCTGTCCATTGGTGCAGCTCTGCAGCAATCCAACAGCCCCTTACGTTGCCTCACAGACCATCTTCTTCCTAAGACCTCACAGTCCAGGTGCTCTCCTCCGAGCACCACACGCACAATCACAGCTGTCCTCTCCTCAAAGTTTCACAGGAATTCCCTCACAAATCCCTCAAGCCCACATTCCCAGCACTGCTCTCACAGCCATCCACCCTCCTCCTGGTCATGCTAGTCTCTGCCAGTGCAGCCACCAAATGCCAGCCCCTCCATACCACCTTGTCATGCTGCCTAAAACCACTTTGGCTCTCCTCAAGCCCCAGGCCCTGGACAATGCCCCACAAGGGCACTAAAAGTATGTTGAAGCTTTCACTAGCCCTTTGCCAGCCAGTGAAACTTTTCTTGGAGGAAAGAGATATTCAACAGGGTGGGCGAAAGGAAGTCTCTAATGACAGACTGCACAACTGTTCCTGAATACCAATGAGACTGTACTGTGCTCTTGCAGAGGCTCTACTACTGTCAGTGAAGCTGCTGCCTTCAGCAGCTGAGCCATGCAGAAAGCAAATGTAGCCTGTGTAGCTCCAGGGGCACCAGAATGTATTCAGTCAATGGATGTTGTATCTCACCCTGCAGAGAGAGATTGGGAACAATTTACAGAATCAAAGACCTGTTCTAGGCAGCAAGAGGAAAAAAACTCCTTCAGAATACTTTTCATTTTTTGTACTGCTTTGTAGGACAATGAACTGAAATGTGAGCAATGAAACAAAGGAGAAGGAAAGCACCAGTAACTGACACAAGTTTTTTCCACCCTTACCAAGACATGTCTGTCCATCAGGTCCTAGTGTTGTCCCAAGGGAACATGTGCAGTCACTGGTGTCCAGGCAGGAGCCCTGGCAATCCACCACATCACAGATGTCATAAAAATCTAGGGCATGACAAGAATACTGTCAGCACAAACTACTGAGCATGCACAAAAATAGTGTACTAGTATTGACAACTTCAAGCCCTGTTTCTAGTCCATCAGTTATAGACCTAGCCCACATTAGGAAAGCTGAACCACTGAAGCTGATAAGAAACAATTCAGTTTAATTACTGTAAGTCAGAGATGCAAATGTTGGCTTTGGTAGCATGCCAACACAAACCACAGGGTCCACAGAGAGCATTAAATCACTGCAGCCAGGCCAGCCATGGAAGATTTCTGCTAGCTGAGTAAAGGCTAGAATTCACAGAGGTGAAGTTGCCTGATTGATCTTGCATAGACAGGCCACCAACTGCACTGCACCACCTCACACACCTTAGGGTGAGAAAGCCAGAAATCAGTCAGCACCTCTCTCAGGTATATGGATGCTCACTACCTCTCCTGCATCACAGGGACCAAGGGGTTTCAGAAAAGCAATCTCAGCAGTTACTTACGGCCACAGTATGCATGGAAACAAACGCTAGGCCTGATTAAGTGATACACGTAGTACCCGCCCGGACACGCCTTGACATCAATCGTGGTATTCCAAAGGCAGCAGTTCCCATTGAAGCTGGCACAAGCCTGGCGTGGGACGATGCCATCTGACTCTCGTGGGTGGCTGCCATTGAGCCAGATGGGAGCGTGGGTGCCACAGTGGTTCTCTGGGATGCAGAAGGTAGGCATAGCATCGCCAGCCATGCCAGTGAAGCGATACCACTCCCCGTCAATTTGACTGTCGCATGTCGGCTGGCCGTGGGAACCATTTATCTGATGATCTGTGTTCCTCCAGGGCTCATTCAGGCTGATGTAGGCAGAGCAGGGATCCAGGGCTGAGACATGCAGCAAGAGACAAGAGAGAACATCTGAGAGATATCAAATCAAGTTGATGACTGATAATTGCAAGGAATTTCTTGCAATTTCTTTTTCTATTCCTGACTTTACAGAATCATTGTGATAGATAAAGATCCCCTGGGACAAACAGTAATACCAGCTAGCTAATTGCCTCATGGAAAATTCTGACAGGTCAGCTTAAATGTCTTGGAAGAAAAAGTAAATTAACAGAGCTCTTACAACATTATGCAACAGTCTGACTTGCTGTTTAGCTGCTGTAGATTATGAGAAGGGAAAAAAGAAGAAAACAGGAAAATCTGGGGTCCAGGTAGTGATTTTACCATAGGAAATATGTCCTGGGAGCACTGGATCTAGCCTAGGACGTCCACCTTTTCTTCAAGTACTAACTGAGCATCTGCGAGCCCTTCCTGAAGTCACTGGTAACTGTTCCACATGCCTTGGAAAAAAGGACCAGACTTCAAGCACGTTATGCAACCTCTCTCAAAATCCATCCATACCTTGGTGTCTGCCCTCACAGTTGGAGTTACCATAACCACAAGGCAGAGATCACTATGCAAAGCATCAGTTAAAATGTGAAGTGTAAGATAGACAATAGGTGTCTATCTTACATATTCAAGGTGTGCAGAACAAAAATATTTCCATTATTAGACCCCTATATAACTGTAAAGCATCTCTAAGCATATTTTATCAGTTCCTACTCATTTCAGGGTACAACTTTAAACAGCTAGTATAAGAACTGCTCTCCCAGGTCACAATGAAGTTGATCTACAGCTCAGCAAGTTGTCTCTAACCCAGAGTGTCTGCTTAGGGAAGTGAGATAGAACAGACACCCTGCTCCATTTACCTTGGTTTTTGTTCTCCACTGTTTCTCCTATAGCTATGTACATAATATCTTGAGGTGAGTAGAAAGAGCTATAACTCAAAACCATGCACTCTGTAAAATTCTGCCCTGGGGCAAGAAAGAGAGGTGGCAGCTCCCTGTATTTAAAGATCCACTTAGATATGCCCTGGTTCCCTCCAGAAACTGGTCCCCGCTTCCCTCTCTGCCAAATACCAACCACCTCTATGCTTCACAGTATCTGTTGTGGATTTCTGTGACATCAAAGCCTCCTTGCATCTGAAACAGCTTCCCCATATCTTTTTTTATGATTAAAATCTAGAGAGCTTGAACATCTGAATCAGGACCTTCTGAGGAGCAAAGTATTCAACTCTTTACACAGTCATGTTCCTCATAAGCCCACAAACCCTCCTAATCTCTACCGAAGACAAGACGTTTGTGAGTGAAGTGTGTTTGAGAGGGAGAAATATAAACACGTGGACCTCCTGACATATGCACATCTGTTCATGAAGTGCTCAAAGAGTGTGTCCTTTTCAGAGGCCTTTCTGAACCTTCAGCAAACCAAACTTAAGAATACCATACGGTGAAAAAACCCCAAAGAATTGAAGTGTTCATTACATTTTCAGTCTTCTGATTAACTCTGATTTGGCAGCTTCCTCAATAGAAGTCCGGAGGTTTCATTTTCACTTACATTTAATATCTGATTAAGCACTACTTATCCCTGACTATTTCCTATTAAGCAAAATGAATGCTAATCCTGTCTTAAGGAAAACTGATTATCATTTCCTAGAATTAGGCTAATAAACCCAATCATTCTGATTAAATGCACCTCAGACTGGAATACCCTCTTCTTTCTACATCACATTTCTTTTTAAGTACTAAATTTGCTTTCTCCGCTTTGTTTGAGCAGTAGGGTGATGCAAATGGGTGGGGAGGACGCACTATATTGTTTCCATTAGAATGCTCTAAAGGCAGACAAACCTTCTTGGTTCATCATTTTTTGCTTCACTGACTTTAAAGGGGGAACTACATGTGCTTCAGAGAACACATTTCAAGTCATCCTTATTCAGCTGCATCTCCTGTAAGGATCTGTCCCACCAACATGTTACCTTGTACCTTCTCACAAACGTGGTATCTCTTTTGTCAAACATCCTTACACCTTCCTCAGCCGTAGGTACATTTGGCTCCAAACCAGCCAAAAAGGCAGAAGCAGTTGCCATAGTCATGAGCTGCAAGCTGGCACAGAGAGTGCAGATCTGGGTTACAAAGGGAATCTCTAGTGCCCTAATTCACAAGCTAGGAGAAGCATATTCACTCCCACCTCAAGCAGCCTGTTTCTCCTGAGCAGCAGAGGAGGGAAATACAGCAGAAAACTTCTGATGAGATTCATCAGGTAATCCCTCATGAGGTCTCTCTTCCATCTGCATTTCCTTGTCTCCCCTTAGCTACAGACAGCAGCAGCTCTGATGAATCCCATCCTCCAAAAGCTTGCTTGACTTCTTGCAACAGGAAAGAATAGGTCCTGGCTTTTCTCTGCACACAACTAAACAGAACTTCCTCTGGGCTTCCCTCAGTGTAACTCCCTCCGTTTCCACAAGGTGATTTGGCATGGCCTCATGGTGAGCCACTGACTAAGATTAAAACATTTTTGTTTTGTTAAAAGCTAAATGAGGTGAAGTGAGAAATGCCCTGTCAGCTTTCCAGCTGGGCAGCACCAAAAATACACACATACTCATTAGCTTTCATGCAGTATAATTAACTTTATGAAATACCCTTTGTAGACAGACTCTAAAAACACTCATTTAGGGAAGATCACATTGCCTCCTAAACATTCAGAAGACAATTTTAAGACAAAACCACTGAGATATATAGAGGGAGCCAGAAGAAGGCATTTCAGAGGAATGGAGTAGCATACCCTCACATATTTTATTTCTCTGAAAGCTGCAGGCAGGAGTGAAGGGGACACAAACAAGCAGAAAAAGCACAGTGCTCTTTTGAACACTCAGTCCTCACGGCCACTCTCAGACTGCCAGCATTGCCCCAAGCCATGGTCCCTGCAGACACCAAGCAGTCTTTGGCAGCAGTGTACTGAAAACTAACTTGAGTTCTTAAGAAAAAAATCTGCAGAAATATAAAAGCAATCAACCCCTCATCTCTTCTCCCGAAACAACAAAAGCATGGGTGTTTCGCACAAGGCATGTAACTATCTCCAGCTCCCTGTTTTTCATTTTTCTTGGCCCAATTTTTTTTCCTCTCCAGCACTTCTTGCGTGGCCTGAGCAATTCAGTCTGACAAGCATTAGCTATGAAGTAAAGCTTTTCAATTTGTAATCTTGATGATATCATTAGTTTTGTAGCTGACATGCTAGCATATATATTGGATGACAAATCAATCTAGCAAGCATTTGTAAGTCCACCAATCTGCAGAGAGATTAATCCTGTGTGTATTGTGCAATTGGAGCTCTCTGCTCTGGCACAACTAAGCAATGAAATGAGCAGCACTGCATTATGACACTAAATTCAGTTAAGATTTATCAAAGAAGCAGGTCCTCTGAAGGGAGAGGAAAATCCCACAGTGCTTTGGCAGTAGACATTCTCTCAATACGGGAGGCTTCACGCTCTGTGACAGAAAGATCTTTCCAACTGGAAAGAATTTCACGCCACCTTCAGAGAAAAATTGTCACATCTTCTAGTCTTTCACCTAAGAATATCAAGGTTCAGCATGAATCCTAAATATGACAAACAGAAATAAGTTTGAAGGCAATGCCTCTTTACTCACCCATCGAAGACACTGGCTGCAACTGGATGATGAAGCAGATACAGAAAAACAAGTACTGAAACATCCCACTCAGCCAAGGAACAGTTACCACTCAAGCAACAAAGGCTTGAAAGCCCTTGCACACGCTGTGGCTCTTGCAGCCTTCCTCTCGGTGGAGCTTCTGATCCCAAGCTTTCTGAAGAGCAAGTGTGATGGCTGTCCTAGAAGTTTATCAAAGGAAGAAGCTGAAGGGATGTGGGGTACAGCTCCAGCCTTGACCTTCACAGAGCAGCTCTGCCCCTTATTGACAACAGAGATGTACTTACTGATCAATCTTGTTTTTCTGGACTCAACCCGCTATTGTTTTCTGGCCTGACTGCCCCACAGTGACACCTCCCTATATCTTATCTGGAGACAAATTCTAACCAGGGACACCCGGACATCCCGAAGGGATGGAAAAGAACAACAGATGGGTGCTTGTTGTTATCTCTTCTCCTTCCACTAGTCATGTGACTTCATGGCTCCCCACAGGCAAAAAACACCAGCTAGAGTGCCTTAACTGCAGGAAATAGTGGCAAAAGGAGGAGAACTGATCCTTCCGAGTAGAGATTGCAGATGAGTGCTTGGAGCAGAGCTACAATAGGAACATCAGTCAAAATGAAAGACTGGTGTCCCACAGAGAAATAAATTGTTCCTACACTACACAAAGACCCTTTCCACTCCTAGTCACATAACTTGATCACTGCAGCAAAATTATCAAACAAGGCAAGTAAGGACATTTTTCTGCAGTAGTTTTATGATCTCTGCTTAAAAAAAAAAACAACTCGACAAATGAACAATTAAGACAGCCAACGTTATTGAATTAACTTCCATACAAAACTGAGTAATTGAGAACCTCTGCCTTACCAGTTGAAACCAAACTAGATTGAGCCACAGGTCATGACCATAAGCCCTAGCTATAGATGAGATGTAGCACACTGAAATTTACACCAAAACAAACCAAGCACCACAACTAGCAGTGAGAGATACCAAGGGCAACATGAATAAGCAGAGAAGACTCTTCCCTCTCATCCCCATAGCTGTAGCTCTTAATATTCAAAGCTCTGTTTTTAACATATATATATATATATATATATATATATACACATATACAGGTCCCTCCCTGCTTATGAACAAGTCAAACAGTTCTCCAGAAAATCATCTGCAGGCAAAAAGCTCTCCATGAGCAAGGAAGTACAGGTAAGCCTACAATAACTGCACAATCAAACAAGTGCAAGGCATTTCCCTATTTCCTTTGTAGCCTGCATTTCTGCAGCAGGCTGGTGTAAGGAATAATGTCAAGGTTGATGGATGTGGTAGCCTCAAATCCCAGCAGGGAAAAAATTGCTTTGCTATTTTCATATTGAGTTTGCATGAGATAGAATTAGGCATTTGCCTGCTTTGTAGAGATACCAAAAGTTCTCAATGGCTTCTCTTTTTCTGGGTGTTCCCCTTGCAGTGAAGTGCAATATGCTGCTCTGCTCCACCCCAAAGAGGAGGCTTTTTCAGTGGTGAATGACTCCAGGGAACAATAAAAAAGTTTTATAAGTGACTGCCATTGATCCCACAAAAACAAAAAAAAAAAGTCTTTGTAGCTACATTATGCTGACAGCTGTGCAGTACTCAAGTGTTTTTACAACAACAGGAAACAAATTCACTATGCAAAGCTAGCAAGGCAGATAACCCTCAAAAGGTGATTATGTGAATTCCCAGAAGAGAAACTAAAATTGAACAGACGAATACAGCAATCCACAGGAAGTTATACTTGGCCATTTTCATTGAGAAGTTTATTCATACTTAAGACCCTGGGTAAATAAAACTGACAAACTTCAGTTGAATTTCTATTTGTGTTAGAGGTGTATTTCCCTGAAACAATTCATTACCAGCTGCTTTTATTTTTGTAGGTGGCATATTAGCCCTGACACTAGTAACATTTTGACAGTTACGTGTGACTGACAACTGACAATTAACATAGGGAAACAAACTACATCATAGCAGTTCTGAGCCTCAAAGGTATCATAAAAAAGGCCCAAGTTCTCCAAAACGGATAAAAGCAGGAGATGCCCCACCATTCCCAGAGATGACACTGTCCTAAATCACCATAACATCTAGCTCAAGGAGGGAGTTTAAAGTTAGAGAAGGTTCAGTGTGCTGCCTCTAAACATTTTGGGAATCCACAGGAAAGACAAAGACTATCTCAGTCTCCTGAAAGAAGCACTGGGCATAACTCTTCTATCAGCACTTCCTCTTTTCTGTGTAAGTTATTTCCGGTGACATACATAAACATGTCACCTGTTCCCTCATAAACAATAGTACCAGAGTAGGCCACTGCAAACCTATGCCCCAGGGAGCTGGAGCAATTATTCCTAAGAGGGTAAAAGAGGAAAAATCCCCAACCAACTAAAACCCCTCCTAAAACAGAACCTCTGAAAGAGAGAATAGAATTCCAATTGAATGCTCTGGCTGCTGTAGAGCCTGCATTCTCTTGGCAGTTCTGGCCAATCTACTGTTCCTGACCTCTGCTTTCCCACTCCAAAGATAAGGGAGCCTGACTACCCAACAAGCAAGAAGAATCAGGATTGGTTTTTATTTCCTAGAAGTAGTCATCAGTATGGGTTAAAAGGTACAAAGAGAGAAGGTAATATTAAAGTAGGGGGCTAGGATTTTATTTTAGTACCCAAGATACAGGATCTTCTAAACCTGCTGCTGTCTAAACCTGGATACTTAACGCAAGAAAGGATGCTAATTTTGCAGGTGGCAATCACACTTCTTGCCCTTCCCAGAGATTTGGAGGGCTTTACCATCTTTACACAAGGAACTCGAATTCTCCAAAGCGTTGGCTAGGCTGGAAAGCCTCATACAGTTTGTAATGGATTAATGAATAAAGATGCTTTGTATCAGATGTTTACTGAAGCAGGCCTAGTCTTTGTTAGACTCACCTCTCAAAACACACCAGTGTTTGCTGAAAGTGAGTGGTGTGTAGAGCAGTTCTTAAAGCAGGAGTAACTCCTGCAGCCTGTCTGGAAGGAACAGGCGGAAGAGCTAATCAGCGCTTCCTGTTGCTGAGAATGGAGAAACCAACGCACACAACAGGATCCCTTGTCTGCAATTGATTTTAGGATGTATGCTCACAATAAGCCTTGACAGGCTGCTGAGATGGATTGCACGTAAGTCAAGGACTCAGAGATAGGCATTGTTGCTGTAAACAACTTGTCCTGTAACTTGGTGCCAATGGGAAGGGCTCTTGAGATGAGCAAGTGAACATGAATTTGGTGAAGTATGAGCAAACTCAACAGAAGTAAAACACCAAGATCATGGTAAAATCAGACAAGAACATAACTCCTAGTGAAGAGTAGCAGTTATTTTCTTTCCCTTAGTGGAGCTCTGTGATGCAGAACTTGGTGTTTTGAGACTGTTTTTCCACAGGTCCTGCAGAACCCAGTGTATCATCCAGGATCCTCAATTTCTAGATGAAGGAATTAGGGCATAGGCAGCATGCTCACAATTTCACAACTAGTCAGGGCAGAAACAGGAGGAGAACCCATCTTCTTTTACAAGTTCACAGAGCCACAATGACACAGCATAACACCAGCATCTCCCATACTTCAGGACTTAGATACACTGCAAGTTTAATTTCCATTCCTGTATTTTATTTTTTACCCCTTTAATGTCTGTATAGAGTAAAACTGTTGTTTTGGGTTCGTTTTGGTTTTTTAAGAAAATATTTTTAATCTCTTGGGATAGGTAGAAAAATACTTCAAAATCATCTTTCTATGTGAAAAGAAAGTCATACAATGTGGCACAGAGGGAAGCAGCTTGCATTTACAACTCCATACAAAAAAACCCCATAAGAGATCAAAGAAATCATTCCACTGGCTCAAAAAGACAAGGCAATTTGGCCAGCTTCACTTGACTGACATAGTGCCAAGGTCTGACAGCGAATCGTGCAAACCCTCTTGGAGCCAACATGGAAATGTAAGAACTTGCAACAAGGTGATCACCATCACTGTCAGGTAGGAAGGATTACAGGGGGGGAAAGGATTTCTTGCTTGCTCTTCAGGAAAAAGGAGCCATGAACATTTCTCCTGGAGAGCTTGAAAGATAAAGCCTCACAGGCATGGCAAAAGGGAACCTAATACATTTCTCCAGATAATTTTGAACTTGACATGTATTTATATGAACTCTGACATAGAAAAAGAGGGAAGGAAGGTTAACAAAAAACCCAACAAAATTGGTAGAAAAAGCAGCATCCGAACACTGCAATGTACATTGCTGTTTATCCTTCATGTGGTTTTATGAACACAGTATGACATTAAGATTCAGGCAGCACTGCCTGCTCTTAAAGTGCTGTTGGTGGGACAGGAGCCTACTACCTGACCGACTCCTTGGCATGAAATAGCTAATGCAAGAGAGCTTGTTGAAGTGCTGATGAGTGTACAACTGTGATAAAATCGTGTGCAAACAAACATCACCCTTCCCTTCAATATTTGCATTCAAGGGCAACAAAAGCAGAGAAGCGCTGAGATCTAGGATTGAGGTTTATGGCATGTCATCCATCCCTAGCAGAGGCCACATGCCCAGGTGGTGCAGAGAGGAGTGAGACAGCAAACTTCCAGGGGTACAAATGAGACCCACTGGAGAGCCCATATTTCAGGGTACAATTGTAGACTCTTACTTTACTCCTTTTCTCAGTCTCTAGACCAACATTAAGGCATGTGCAGGAAAAACTTTGTCACATCATTTTCTTTTCAAAATAGGGATTGTGGTGCTAGGTGTCGAAGTCTTTCACTTCTGGATGCCAAAACAGATGGGCTCTTATGCAACTGATCCAAGCAGTTTGTCTAGGGAGGGCAGCAATTCATCTGTACACAGCATCAGGTTAAGGACTGCTTGGAAGAAGTTTGTCAGACTGCTGAACTAAAATTCAACAGCGATTAAAGGTAGGTCACAACAAGTAGCAGGTTCCAGCCCCTCTCCTCCAACTTTAAAAAGTAAAAAATGAGTTGTCTGTTTTAAAAACCAATTTTTAAAAAATAAAATCATGGATTTTACTTTTTGCTAAACAGTCAATGGACATGATGGAAACCTGGCATCAAACATATCATTCTACTATCCCATCAAGTTAGGAGAAAGTACAGTCTGCCGATTCCCAAAGTTAATGAACCACCAATACATCACTATGACAAATCCACCTACAGCCATTCACGGGTCCAAAAAGAAATAGGAGCTTAAAATGCCAGTTTTCCTGTGAAATAGCACTTGAATGCAATAAGGAAACACATTGACACCACTTGGTACCTTTCAGGTTGCTGGGCATTACATGCCCATATATATTCTTATCCTGCAACCTGCCAAACATCCTCAGGTTTTGTCAGCCTCCACATGGAGCTACTATACAGGGCAAACAAAGGCAGATCTTTGTTGGACCCAGTATCTCTACCTCACCACCTCAACTGTTCCCGAGATCCCTGTGTTACGCAGCTAGGCATGGCAGCAAGATCTCCATCCAAGCTTCTTCATGAAAGCTATTATCTGCATCACCACTGCCTCAGTCATGTCAAGAAGAAACAACCTAAACAAAAAGAAATGGAGGAAACTCGGGAGACAGCTGCCACACATAGAATATTCTCAGCTGGGGAAAATAACATTATTCAAGAGCACTGATTCAAAAATTGAATAGTTATTTATTGTTCCAGAAGTACATTGCTCTTTTATACATATTTCATAAATGATACAGGATTTTACACGTGTTCAGGTTTTGTTTTGTTGTTTGGTTGTTTGTTTTTTTTTTTAAAGAAGGACTTTCCTCCATGCTCCCTCCCTCATCCCAAACACACACCAAGGATTCAGCTACAGGATTCTGTTCATTTTTTTCCCTTTAAAACTCATCACACAAACAGGATAAAACAGATTAAAAAATAATCACACAATGTAAATTGAAACAGAGAGAAAAGAGAAAAGGGAAAAAAAATAGAAACATGCACCCATTCAGTCCAACATGCCATTGAGAAGAGGCAGCAATCC